AGTGCTAAAGCAGAGCCCTTGGGCCTGGAGTGTCCCTGTCCCAGGTCTTTGTTGCATCTCCTTCCTTGCGTCTACCACTATCGAAGATGATCTCCCTTCTGGTTGTCTTATCTCTTCACGGCCCCTCTCCACGACCAGGATGTAAGCTTCCTCCTGACAGCTCGGACCTGAGCCGTTCTGTTTGCTGAGATTTCTCCAGCACCTAGGACAGCTCCCGACATGAAGAGAATGCTGGATTCGTTCAGTCGTCCCTGGGTGGTCGAGGGCAATTGGGTCCAAGACTCCCCACACAGATACCAAAACCCGAGGATGCTCAGGTCCCTTATATAAAATGGCGTGGTACCTGCCTATAATCTGTGCACCTCCTCCTGTCTCCTTTAAGTCATCTCTGGATTGTGCATAATACCTAATACAATGTAAATGCAACGTAAGTAGTTGTGACACGGTCCTGTGCAGGGGTGTCCAACCTGGGCGCTGTGCGTGGTGAGGAAGGCAGGTCTTAGGCGAAAGAATTCGTGCAAAGTCATCCACTTCCAGTGAGGTCCCCACATTGTCCACTAAGTAGAGGAGGGGCTGCTTGTGCTGGCCAGGAGAGTTCAGGGGAGTCTGGAGTTCAAGGTTTTCAGGCTCATCCACCCATCCGATGTCCCCACCCCAGGGTCCTAGAGTTCCCCAGGGGGGCCCTGTCAAAACTGCACATTCAGCCTCCTTGGCAGCTCTGTCTCCCTTCCTGTCAGTGGCTGCACCTGACGTTGCGTGGTTTGCCTCGCAGCTGCTGGAGACTTGGGTCTGCTTAGGGACTGCCACACACGCCCAAGGCTTCTGTGTGTCCCAAAGTTGGTTGTTAGCTGCCTTGATCCTATCTTTTAGGGGGTGGGGGAGAGAGACACAGACAGACAGACAGACAGACAGACAGACATTACTTTGCTGTTCCACTTTCTTCCATCCAAGTACAAACCAGGCCCGACCCTGCTTAGCTTCTGAGATCAGAGGAGATCAGGCATGTTCGGGGTGGTACGTCTGTAGACTGCGGTTCTACTTTCTAATGCATTCACTAGTTGATTCTTTTTTTTTAAAGAGGGCAAGGGAGGAGGAAGAGAGGGAGAGAAGCATCAATGTGTTGTTGCCTCTCACACACCCCCAGCAGGGGTCCTGGCCTACAACCCAGGCACGTGACTGGGAATCAAACCAGCGGCCCTTTGGGTTGCAGGCCAGCGCTCCGCCCACTGAGCCACACCAGCCAGGGCCACTGGTTGATTCTTGTATGTGCCCTGACCAGGGATCGACCCTGCAGCCTTGGCGTGTCAGGATGGCGCTGTAACCAATCGAGCTACCTGGCCAGGGCTTTCCTATCATTTACTTTTCAGCAAGGTTTCCTGTGCTGTTGATAAAAGGCAGCGCACTGCACATCTGTTCCCATTATGGTTTGTGGCGCCCATGCAGATCAAATGCAGGAGGCACGCCGTTTCCAACTCCGTTTCACCGACGTCTCAGCCCCAGCCACCAGTGGCAGAACCTTAACAATTGTGATGCCGTGAACCCATGCTTATCGCCACCCAGTTACCATCAGCAATAACGTCCCTCTTGCCATCGGAACAATAGGCAATCCAATTTCACAGTCCTATCCTCGCCATAGGGAGCACCCTGGGGACCAGCTGTCTTAGGGGGCCCGTGGTGCGGCGTGGCCATGAGACTGCTTTTGCCCCTGCGGACAGACGGCTGGAGCCCAGGCAGAGTGGGTCACTACGACACAGAGGCCGGGGCAGGACCTGTCACAGGCCCTGTGGGGACGAGAGGCCCTGATGCGGCATGAAATGATGTCTGATGCAAAGACGGATGACAGATTTTCCCTGCCAACAGAGCTGGCCCCATTTGCATTTATTGATGTCACATGATGGATAGGCTTCGTTCGTATTCTGGCATCTTATTTTCCATTGTGCTTTCCCTCCTGAGTGCTTCCTTTGTTTCGGGTCTTTGGCTGTCTGCCGTGGGTGTGGGTGTGGGTGTGTGTTTTCTTCGGGTCACTGCACGGCGATTGTGGCGATCGGCGCTCTAGTTCTGGAACCATCCGGGGTGGTTGAGATAAGATGTGTCAGATAAGTGAGGACGGGATCTGGTGCATGACGCCTCGGACCCTGCACGCACACGGGCTCCTCCTTTATTTTCTGCCTTCATATCTGTGCCCTGCCTGGGTGCTGATAAATTCTGTGTTGCCCAATGCCCATCAAAGGAGAAGAATAAGCCCTGGCTGGTGTAGCTCAGTGGTTGAGCACAAGCCTTCGAACCAGAGGGACGCTGGTTCAGTTCCCAGTAGGGGCACATGCCCGATTTGTGGGCCAGGCCCCCAGTAGGGGGCACACAAGAGGCGACCACATATTGATGTTTCTCTCCCTCTCTTTCTCCTTCCCTTCCCCGCTCTCTAAAAATAAATTTATAAAATCTTTTAAAAAGGAGAAAAGTAAATGTCGATGTGTTTATAATTATACATACAGCTTTAGCAAGAACATTCCTGAAAAAGCTTTGATTTTGACACAGGTCAATGAGAATCAAATCTTCCGCTTAGAATTTGACCTGCCTGATGAAGGGGAAGGAGTTCTGGCACCACTGGCTGGCCGTCTGTGTTTCCCGCCTTGTTCCTCCTCCAGTCTCCACAGCGTCTCTGCACCAGGCCCTGCAGGAAGGACCCTTCTCCACCAAGACGAGACCCCTGTCCCTGCCCCTTGTGCCCCAGGCTTTGTGCCAAACACCAGACGAGTCGGCTCAGAGGGCGCTAAATCACTCCGGCACCCACACAGCAGGCGAAGACGGAATTGTAGGTGCGGGAGACTCCAGACCAGGGAGACCTGTTCCAGGAAACCCGATCTACCTGTGTCCCGCGTCCCTGTTCCCTCGCTCAGAACCGCCCCACCGTCATCTGACGTGAGATGAAGAAGAATTCCAAGCAAAAAGAGACAGTGACCTTAACAGACGGCACCCAAAGTGCCTTAGCTGTGAAAATGTGGCGGAGTCGTGTGCCCAGGTGAACACACTGTTGGGACTCTCCAACCCCGAGCACCGGGCAGAGCTCTGGTTTACGATTTGAAAGAAACCCAGCCGAAATCTACAGATACGTATAAGAAACGCCAAGAAAGTTCTGTTTGATACTTACGATGATTTGTGAGTTTTAGGAAATAATTATCAAAACCTTTTCAAACAGGGTTTGCTTGTTATTTAATGAATTAATGTTTTTAAACTCACCCGAGGATATGCTTATATCAACTTTACAGAGAGGAGAAGGGAAGGAGAGGGAGAGAGAGAGAGAGAGAGAGAGAGAGAGAAGCGTCGGTCGGTTGTCTCTCAGGGGAACTGAACCCACGACCTACACACGTGCCCTTTCCCGAGACCCGGACTTTCTGGATGACGCTCCCACTGAGTCACACCGGCCAGGGCTGCTCCTGCCTGGCGCCTGGTCTGCTGACCGTGCTGTGCAGATGGGGCGAACGTTGCACTCATTACAATTGAAATCCGAGCAGCCACGTGTGGCTTGTGGTTACCATGTAAGGCAGCAATGGTTTGGCCCTGTTTCAGGGGGAAGGTGGCCCCACAGAGGGGAAGAGGAGGGGAACCCCAGCCCTGTGGCTACAGCCAGACTGGGAAGTTTTTGAGTTTGTTTTTTAAAGCATGTTGTGGAGGTACGACTGACAGACAGAAAGCTGTGCGTGTTCAATGTGCATGACCGGATGGGGCTGGACACCAGTCAGCACCCACGGCACCGTCACCGGAGTTCGAGCCGTAATGTCAGCCCTCCTGGTAAACAACGTTTAAGCACCTGACGCAGTATCGTGAACCACGGGCCCCATGCCGTGTGGTGGCTCTCTAGGCCTTGCTTACCTTGTCTACCTGAACCGTGGTTCCCTTTGACTATTACCTCCCCATTTCCCTGCCCCCGGCCCCTGGCCCCCACCATTCTACCGCCTGCCTCTGTGGGTTTGACAATTCTAGATTGCTTATGCAGATGAGTATGTGCGGTGTTTGTCCTCCTGTGTCTGGTTTCTTCCACTGCCAAGTTCATCCCGTGTTCCTGTATTTGCCCGGGCTTCCTTCTCTTTGAAGGCTGAATAATAGTATTCCACTGTATGCTTACACCACATTTTTTAATCCATGGACTCCCTGATGGGCATGCAGGCAGCTACCACATCGTGACTATTTGAATGATGCAGCGAGAAACACGGGCTGGCGGTTCTCCCTCCAAGGTTCTGATTTCAATCCCTTCGCACCAACACCCAGCAGGGAGATGGCTGGATCGGGAGGTGGTTCCATTTTTCATTTTCTAAGATACTTCTGTACTGCTCTCCATGGCGGCTGCGCCAAGTCACACCCCCTCCAACGGCGCACGAGGCTCCCTGTTGAGTCCTCACGAAGGCCATCGACGACAGGTGCGAGGCGATATCTCCTTTCGGTTTGGGGCTGCCTTCCCCCGATGATGAGGGACGTGGAGCGGCCTGGCATGCACGGCTGGTCATTCCATGTCTTCTTGGGAGAACTATCTTTTCAGGGTCTTTGTCCATTTTGTAATCGAGTTATTTTATTTATTTGTTTGTTTGTTTATTTATTTACTTTTTGCTATTGCATTATAGGAGTTTCACTGCCTGGGGACTCCAAACCATCGTAAATCCTTAATCTGACACCCCAGCGTGGGCTCCTCTGTCACCGGGACATCGGACACTCACTATGGGACTTTGGACAGAGCAGAAGAGCAGCTTCCGTGCTCAGCACGGGCCCTCCCCGAAGGCTTTTCCCTCTCTCCATTCTTGTTCTCTGGAAGCCCATTTTCTCCAAGCTAATCTTATAGGCCCTCTGGGCCTCAGTTTCTCCTCTGTGCTTGTGTCGGGGCAGGGGTCTCTGTCCAGTAGACCCTGGAAGTGCTAAAGCCCCAGCCCAGGGTCTTCCCGGAAGCCCCCCTCCCTCCTCGGGTCCTGCGGGCAGGACTGAGGCTCGGCCCCTTTAAGTCCCGCCCAGGAACTCCGGGGCCACCGCGCTTCCCGGATCTGCAGCCGGATTCCCGGTCTCAGCGGTGGCGCAACTCCCCAGCGCGTCCCCTCGCGGTGTCCCGGGTCCCAGCACAGCGGCCTGCGGAGAATGAGCCGCATCTACCAGGACAGCGCGCTCCGGAACAAGGCGGTGCGGAGCGCACGGCTGAGCGCGGCCTGGGAGCCCGCCGCCCACCAGGGGTAACCCGGCCAGTCCCTCGCGGTGCCTCGGCCCAGCCTCCCGCCCGGCTCGGATCCCGGGCGCCTGGATCCGGAAAGGGCGCCACCCGGGGTGCGGGCGGGAGGAAAGGCAGGCGATGCCAAAGCGCCCCCAGCGCTTCCCTCGCCCTGGAGCCCGGGGGTTGCAGCTACTAAGACACCGATGCATGGCTTCAAACGCCCTTGCTCTCTTCCCTGTCCAGTCCCTTTGGAGGGGGTTAGGTCTCCACCCCCAAACAGGGTTCAAAGGACGGAGCTGGGTTCTCAGGGCCTTTGTCTCCACCCCGCCCCTGGGGCTGTGAACTCCCGCCACTTGCACAAGCCGCACTACTCCCCTCCCCGAGAAGGGACAGTGTCAGGCTCTGACCGGAAGCGGGTGACAGGGCTGAGGGGCGGGTCGCCGTGGGGTGGGAGGGGCAGAGCTGCCTCCGGGACTGGAGGTCCGGAGAGCCAATGGGCCGCCGGATTCGCAATTACAAACACCAAAGGCTTGAGGGTTGAGGCGGTGGCTGGGAGCACGTAGGCACAGCCCGTTGTCACGGGATGTCCCCACTCCCATTTCTGTGGTTCCAAGAAAGGAAGGCCATAGGTTCTGCTTTCCTGAAAACTGGAACCAGGAAGTGGGGCCCAGCTCCTCTCGGTGGAGGGCTGGGGGGCGTGCACTGTGGTCCTAGGGGGTGGGCTTCTCCACCTCCCTAGGGGCTGTGACCGACAGGAATAGGAAAACGCTTTAAAACAGGAAGGAAGGAAAGATACTTTGTGGCAATGGAGACACCCCTCCTAATTCGGTTCAGTAAACAGCTAAAATCTGTTTCGTGTATTCAACACTGACTAGTTTACCAAACACTCTCAGTACAGGGTCTGTCACCCTCACAGAAGCAGGGTGACACGGCTGTCACTCTCCCACGTTGCAGCTAAGAACACGGGGGCTCTGTCAGCAGACTCTGCGGGAGGGGCCCCAGCTTAGTCTTGCAGCCTGGCCAGCTGCCCTGCTACCCCACCCGGGGCAGCGCCCCAGCCTTTGGGACCCTCACAGGGACGGAGGCCCCCTGTGGGAAGCACAGAGGAGGGGGCTGCTCAGTACCAGTCCTGCTTGGGCGCCCAGGGAACAGGAGGTACGCGTGGGAGTCACTTCTGTCCCAGTGCACACTCTGACGCCCGCCGACCAGCCGACGAGGTGGTGGCTCTTCCCTGAGGCCTGGCAGAAGCAGCCGACCCCTCCTTCTGCTCTCACCCCAGGGGAAATGGCGTCCTGCTGGAGGGAGAATTGGTCGATGTGTCTCGGCACAGCATCTTGGATGCCAATGGCAGGAAGGTGAGGATTTAGGGGCGGGAGGGGGGCCCACCCACCAAGGCACGTCCCTTTGCGTGGCTGAGCCAGTGCCAAGCCTTGGAGTCCAGGTCTTCAGGGGATCCCTGGGCAGGTGGGTCGGGAGAGTAGCAGCCTAAAAGGGTCGCTGGGTGGAAAGGGAGGGGTCATGTGCAGCCTGAGAGACCGAGGACAGATGGGAGGGTCCAAGGCCTCAGCAGGAGTGTGTTTGGGGCAGAGACTGGAAGGGTTGAGAGCAGGAAGGGGTGAGGTGAGTGGTCGCGGACGAAGGCTGTGGCTGCCAGGTGGGCTGGCAGAGGTCCCGTGGCGTTCGGATGGCACAGACCTAGGGTGCCGGGTGCCTTGCTGGGGTGGGCAGGACGGGTGAGTATTCTGAAAGGGCGGTGAGTTCAGCGTCCTGTCCGCTGGTCTGGTGGTCCCCTCTGCTCGTCCTGAAGGACAAGGGGTATCAGCCTGTGTGGGTGCAGGGTCAGCAGTGACCTTCTCCTTTCTGAGTCTCAGCTCGGTTCCCGGGAAGTCCTGGATACTTTCAATTTTTTGGCGTTGAATTACTTTAAAAGCACCGGTGGAGTTGGCTGTGATGAGGAGCTTTGGAGTGACTTTGCCAAGTGGAGGATCTCTTGGTGTGGGTTCACTCATCTTTTTTTAAAGCTGATCTCAGAGGAAGGGAGAATGAGAGAGAAACATCGATTTGCTGTTCCACTTACTGACGCACTCACAGGCAGCTTCTTGTACGTGCCCTGCCCAGGGATCGAACCTGTCACCTTGACATATCTGGGACGATGCTGTAACCCACTGAGCCTCCCAGCCAGGGCTGATTCATCTTCTGAGGAGACTCTGTGTGGCCGCACATTCTGGAATGTTGTGGTTTTATACAGTGGGTCACCGCGGTGGACCTGGCCCTGCATGTGTGCGCGGGTGGGGAGCAGGAGGTGGCAGGAGGTTTGTTGTGTCCTGGGATCTGTGCGGCTTGAATGTATTTGGAGCCGAGGTGAGGGGTTCGGGGTAGAGAGCGAGGTCGGGGAGGGCTGTGTGCAGCCCCGTGGGGGGGGGAGAGAGAGAGATGTGTGTGTGTGTGTGTGTGTGTGTGTGTGTGTGTGTGTGTGTGTGTGTTGGGGGGTGGGGGCCCCTCACTCTCTCTGCCCGCCCCCCCAGGAGCGCTACTACGTGCTGTACATCCGGCCGAGTCTCATCCATCGCCGCAGGTTCGACCCCAAAGGGAATGAAATCGAGCCCAACTTCAGCGCCACCAAGAAGGTCAACACGGGCTTCCTCCTGTCCTCCTACAGTAGGTGCCTCCGCCCTTCCCCCTCGGCCCCGCCCACACCTCCGCCCTCTTCCCTCCGCCCCGCCCACACATCCGCCACGCCCACAGCCCCGCCACGCCCACACCGTAAGTAGCCTGCCTTTGTCTCCCGGGGTTTCGGCCCCTAGAAAGTGTCTTTTCGGCCCTGACAGGACTCCTTCCTGTGTCCCATTCACTCAGGGGATCCCAGTGCCCCAGCTCAGCCTGGCACAGTTGTCCACAAACCTGGCTCGAGGCTCTGACTGCCTTTGTGCGGAGCCCAGACCAGGGCCCTGCTGCTTGGGCTCCGGGACTTCCTTTCTCTTCCCGGTTTTGGTGGCAGAAGGACCTCTCCTGTCTGCCCCCCTGTGAAGAGGTTTGGAGGGGGCGCGGGGGTCCACCCGTGCCTCTGTCGTGGCGTCTGTCCATGGTCCCCGTGACTCATTCATTCTCAGAACATGTAATGAGCCTCCGCCGTGAGCTAGTCCCAGAGCCCACGCTGGGACCGCCTCTGCCCTTGGATGAGCTCTGGAAGAGTGGGCTCTCGCCCCGCCTTCAGGGGGTCGTGAGTGTGGAGGACACGTGGCCTGCACCTGGCGGCCAAGGCCCTCCCTGGACGCCGCCCTCACCACGGGACTGACCCTCTGGTGCTGTGTGCCTGCAGAGGTGGACGCCAAGGGGGAGACGGACAGACTCACGCCCGAGGCCCTGAAGGAGCTGGTGAACAAGCCCGAGCTGCTGGCCCTGACCGAGAGCCTCGCGCCCGAGCAGACCGTGGGGTTCTGGATGCCTGAGTCAGAGATGGAGGCGCTGGAGCTGGAGCTGGGGGCCGGGGTGCGGCTGAAAACACGAGGCGATGGCCCGTTCCTGGGTGAGCAGCGCGGCCCTCATCACTGTGGCCTTGACTGAGGCTTTCCGACCCCTGCTGCTTAGAACTCGTGGGCACAGGCCAGGTCTGGCCTCCACGGGGACATAACCCCTTGAGATTTATTCCTAAGGCCCTGGATGGGTGGCTAAGGCAATCCCATGGTTCCCGTGGGTGCTTTTCCGGTCCCATCCCGGGTCTCCTGGAGGTCCATACCCAGGCCCGAAGAGAACAATGGCTTAACCCAGGCCTCAGAGACCCCAGCAGGATGGGCCAGCCCCGACTATGTTTCCAGCACAGGGAGAGAGGCCACTCAGCTTCTTCCCTTCTTTCAGATTCATTAGCCAAACTTGAAGCTGGAACAGTGACCAAGTGTAATTTTGCCGGTGATAGACAGACAGGGGCGTCCTGGACAGACAACATCATGGCCCGGAAGTCTTCTCAGGCGTCCACGGCGGAGACCCGCGAGCAGGGGGACGGGGCGGAGGACGAGGAGTGGGTAGGTCAAGGGCAATGACCGTGGGCCTGGGATCCGCCTGGTTTGTCTCTCAGCAGGAGTTTTGTTTGTAGTGGTGGTGGTTGTGTGTAGGACAAGGAGAGAGCGGCATAAACTTGACCATCACCACCACCACCCCAGTCTTGGGGGAATTTCGAGGCATGCCCGAGGGTGCGTGAGCACCGGGGAAAGTGCCTTCAAGGTGTGAAGCCACTGCTCAGAGTGGCTAGGAAATGGGTGGCTTTATCCTTAGCAAGTTTTTCGTTGTTTTTTTTTTTTTCATTTCTGGTTTTGTTTTGTTTTGTTTTGTTTTTTGCTATGGGCCAGCCCAGCTCATTGACCTCAGCCTACTCCCAGCTTATATATTTTTCTGAAGTATATTTCACCTCAAGATTTTAACTGATGTCAAAATGCCCCACTTTGAGCATTTGAAAACAAAGTCACAGAAAAATGGGCTGTTTGTCTAGGTGATGCAGATGATGACCTTGGCTGGGGAAAGCAGGGGCCGGGAGAGCAGAGGGTCTGGATTCCCCTGTGTCTTAATAAAGGGAGGCTTCACCCTGGCTGGTGTAGCTCAGTGGATTGAGCACTGACCTGCGAACCAAAGGGTCGCCGGTTCAATTCTCAGTCAGGGCACACGCCTGGGTTGCAGGCCAGGTCCTCAGTAGGGGGCATGTGAGAGGCAACCACATACTGATGTTTCCCTCTCTTTCTCTTTCTCCCCCTTCCCCTCGCTCTAAAAATAAATACTTAAAAAAAGGGGGCTCATTGGATTGAGCACCGGCCTGGGAACCAAAATGAGGCTTGGACTGAAAAACACCTGGAGACACTCGGCTGGCCCCCTGGGCCACCTCTCAGGAGGGGAGGCCGAGGCAGGTGGCTGAGGGCCCCCCTGGTGCCAGGCAGCTGAGCCCTAGTTGTCCGATGACTTGACTTCTCTGAAACATGCTCTGTTCCCTCTCTTTACTTTCTCCCCAGGATGACTGAGGCTTTTGGGAGATGCAGCCTCCCTGAGGCGCATCGGTGCTGTTGAGAATTTCCTCCATCAACCTCCAGTCCAGAGCTCCAGGAAGTGGCCCCCTTGGCCTTGCCTGGTTCTTCCCCACCGGCACCCGGGAGCACCCTTTGAACCAGCCCTGCTAAGATCAAACCCATGATGTTAGCCACGGGGCGCGATGCCGCGGCTCACGGCAGGTCCCTCCCCGAATGTGAGTTTGGCCTGCCTAGGTATTTTCCTGGCTGCAGCCTCGATCCTGGAGGCAGGTGGTGAGCGAGGGCCCCAGGGTGCTCAGAGGAACTGGGCTTGGTCTCTGTACCAAACTGGGGAACATCCCTCACCTGCATGCAGAGTGGCTCCGAGAAGAAGCCAGCGGCCTCCTTCTTTCCCTCGGGTCTCCCCTTTCCTTGCACACCCTCCCCCACCCTGGTGCTCCGTGCTACGGTCTCTGCTCTCCTGCCCAGTCCTCCTCGTCTCCTGTCCCCTTTTCTTTCCCTGAAGCTGCCTCTGGTTCTCTGCCACCTGGTTGGGGCGGGGGTTCCTGCCTCTGGACCTCTCTGGCTGCTTTCCTGGTGATGCTGTACTCAGGTGCCACTGGCTGGTCCCCCTCTCTCAGATGCACTTGCACCCAGCCAGGCCTCATTTTTGATAACACCTTTTTTTTTGTATCATTGCTGTTGTTTTGTACCTTGAGACCTTTTTCGTAATGAGTAAATCTTCAAAAAAGGACGGACTGGGTTATTGTCAACATAAATAGCCTTCCGGCCAAGCAAGATCCCTCTAAGCAGGAAACCATGTCTTTTTTGTCCAGGAGTGTGCCCTCACCCAGATGTGTGAAGAGACCTCGAATTGAAATTTACGTTTCCTAAGAATAGGTAGGGACTTGGTGGTGCGTGGATCTTGCTTCCCTAGGGAAAAAGGGGTGAACTAACAACCATCAAGTCCCCTAATGTGTCAAACATTGTCCTAGGTGCTTTTCAGGATAACCACTGACTGTTGAGCACTTCCCGGTGCTAGTACTTGTGCTGAGAACATGCAACATCTAACTTTGTCGCCATGGCAATCCCATGAGGTTCGTGGGATTATTGTCCCTGCTTTAGTGCAGAGACTGACTTCTGGACCTCCTCTCCAGAGGAGAGAGCCCTAGCAGTCAGAGTTCAAAGTCCACATTCTTTTTTTTTTAATGTATTATTAATGTGAGAGAGAGTGGAAGGGAGAAAGAGGGACAGAGAAACGTTTACTTTTTGTTCCCCATATCGATGCATTCATTGGTTGCTTCCTGTATGCAGCGCCCGACCAGGGATCAACCGCACACAAGGCCTTGGTGCATCTGGAAGAGGCTCTCACCACCCAGCAGGGCTGAGAACCCTTTTTCCGCTGTTACGTAACCCCTGTCCGTGTGGCTGCCTGGTCTTCATAACCATTGTTTTTAAGATCGACTACCATTTAACAGCTGTATTGTCCAATTTGGGGCTAATTAATTGGTCCTTTTTATTTATTTTATTTTTCAGAGAGAGGAGAAGGGAGGGAGAAAGAGAGGAAGAGAAACATCAATGTGCGAGAGATACATGGATCGACCAGTTGCCTCTCGTTAGCCCCCAGCTGCAGACCTGGCCTGCAACCCGGGCATGTGCCCTGAGTGAGAACCAGCAACCTCTCAAGTTTGCAGGCCAGGGCTCAGTCTACTGAATTACAACAGCCAAGGCTTTTTGTGATTTTTTATTGTTTCTAAGATGTTCTCTATTCAGATGTTACTCAACTTCATTTTCTTCCATTTTGGCTATTATCTAGTTTTATAGTTAACTCTTTAATCCACTCTGCCTGTAATTTGTGGGAGGATATGAAGGGAAATAACTAAATTGCTTAATTTCAAATTGCTAACCAGTTATCTCAACACAGTCATTGAAATTTTTCCCTCACTGTCAACTTATAATGTCCCCTACGTCACATATTAAATTATTTTACACTTAGCCCTGGCTGGTGTAGCTCAGTGGACTGAGCGCGGGCCTGCAAACCAAAAGATCGCAGTTCGATTTCCAGTCAGGGCACATGCCTGGGTTGCAGGCCAGTTCCCAGCAAGGGACACACAACAGGCAACCATACATTGATATTTCTCTCCTTCTCTCCTTCCCTTCACCTCTAAAGATAAATAAATAAAATCTTAAAAAAATTATTTTACACTTAAATTATCCATTATACTTCAATAGGTCTCCCTGTGAAGTCAATTTGTACTATCATAGTAGGTTTCGATGGTAGTGCTAGGTACCCCTATTCTTCTGTTTTAGAATTTCCTTTGACATTCCTTGTCAACACTGAAAACACTTTGTCAAGTTTCCATGCATATTGCCTGCTTTTGGATTATTTTAAATTAAAATACCCTGGCCGGCCCTGGCCGGGTAGCTCAGTTGGTTGGAGCATCTCCCAGATACGCCAAGGTGCAGGTTTGATCTCCAGTCAGGGCATGTACAAAAATCAACCAATGAATGATAAGGAAGTGGAACAACAAATTGACGTTTCTCTCTCTCTCTCTGAAACCAACAAATAAAAAAATTTAAAAAACCAGGCTATTAAGAGTAATACATGTTTATTTTAGAAAATTTTTAAAAAGAAAAATAAATAATTCTGTCTTTTAAAAAAATCACTTAGGTAGCTCTCAGGTATTACCATGTATTGCTCCAAGTGCTTGCAGGCCCCTTTTGTATTCATAACAGCTGCCTGAACACTTTTTTTTTCCAGGTAGAAAACCCTCAGTTTTACAGCAGAAGAGACTGACATTATGAGTTTTACGAATGCCAACACTGGCCCAAGCCACCCAGTCAGTCAGCAGAGCCAGGGCTTGAATCAGGGCACTATGGTTCCGGCCACCTGATACCTTGACGCTGCCACCCCGCCTCACACAGGGATGTGTGTTTTGGTGTATCTACTAACAATTTTTACAACGTGCAGTGTCCCTATACATATACTGTGTAATCTTTTCACTTACAGATAGGCCATGACACATTTCCCTATACCATAAACCTTACCCTACTTGAATTTTAACACCTACTGAATATTCGTCAGATGCATGTGGATGGATGCATCTGAGAACCAATGTCTCATTTTGGAATAATTAGTTCGTTTCCTATTTTTCCCTGTAATTACACTCCTGCGATGTGCATTCTTACAGGCGAATCTTTTCACACATCATTTTATTATACATTCTATAACTGCAAAGGCTGGACCTAATATTCTGTGTATTTAAAAGGCTTTTGATACATATTGCCAGTCATCTGGGTAGGTGATTCCAATTTGCCGCTCTATCTACAATATAGGGACTTGCTCCACTTCACCCCAACTGAGACATTAAGTGAAAAAAAAAAAAAGTTACCAATTTGGGGTCATCAGCACATTTTAAATGGGACTGCATTAGAGATGTCTTGGATTCCAGCATTCACTATTTACCACAGATAGAATGCCGAAAAATGAAAGTGAACCTTAATGTACCCCAACTGGGGAATGGCTAAATCAGCAGGCATCTCACACCGGGAAAGCAGGTCACGATATTTTGGCGCAGACGGTGATTGAAGGAGGTCTCTGCAGCCCCTGAGCTGGAGCGAGGCTGGTGGGCAGGAGTTCCTGCGTATGGAACTGCTCTCCCCACGTGCTCGACTTTGCACCGGGTCCGGAGTTAGCGGCAAAGCTGTCGGTCTGGGCGAAGGACGCAGATCCCGGCTCGCGTCCTGGCCAGGCTCGACTCGCCAGTCGACGTTGACCGATGTGACTACCCTCCCCAGCCTTCTACTCGGCGTGCCGGGAAACCGGACTCTTCGCGGTCCGGCCCCTGAGCGCCCGGGAAAGTTTCCCCCGGCCACTTTCAGAGGCACACCCACCGGAAGTTCCATGGTTGTGGCGGAAGTTGGTGTTTTTAAGAAATAGCCGTGCTTAGAAAAGCTTGGCCGGCGAAGATGATTCAGGCGATTCTGGTTTTCAACAACCACGGGAAGCCGCGGCTGGTCCGCTTCTACCAGCGTTTCGTGAGTGCGGCCCAGCTTCGTTACGTCCCTTCCGCGGACCCGTGTCCTCTCCCCTCCCTCAGGCCCTGACGGCTCACGCGGCCACCGCGCGCTGATCATCTCAGGCTCTTGCACTTTGCGTGACCCTCACGCTCCTTCATCTTCCCCGGGACCGGGGCTAGTGTCAGGCCTTCTGTCCCCACGCCCCGCTGCTTCCGCGCTTCCTAACCCGTTCCTGGGCCCCGGCGTTTCTGTGTCAATTTGTGACATTTCTTCTATGGTCTCAGGCCTCTCTATAACTGACGGGACGGGGCGGGGTGCGGGGAGGGGGGGATGCCTCATTGAAAACATGAATGATTTAAGCCACTTTCAACTTGCTTAAACTCAGTCACACGAAAAGGAAGAAATACGCAGCTTCTTGAGGTGTTTTTTTCTTCAGCCGGAGAGTCTGGACTTCATTTCCATAGAATTTTTAAAGCTAGATTACATTTTGTTAATTATATAGAAGTAAAAACATGGACATTCAATATAATTACTTATTTTGTATATGTGTGTGAATTTTCCCCTGTTTTTTAAAAGTGTTATTGAGACCATACAGTTCACCTTTTTAACATGTATAATTCAGTGGTTATTAGGGTTACAAAGTTACGAGACTGTCACCACAATTTTAGTACATTGTCATTACCCAGAAAGGAAATCCCTACCCATTAGCAATTATTCTGTTTCTCCCTCAAGTCCCCCAGCCCTAGGCAACCACTAATCTACTTTCTGTCTCTACATTTGCCTGTTCTGGGCATTTCGTATAAATGGAGTGATGTGGTCTTCTATGACTGGCCTCTTGCACTTAGCACAGTATGTTTTCAGGGTTTTTCTGAGCTGTAGCTGTATCAGTTCCTCATCCCTTGTTGCTGCCACAATATATTCCGTCACATGGACATAGCACGTTTTGATTGTCCTGTATCAGCTGATGTTTCCACCTATGGCTCTTGTGAATAATGTTGCCAAGAGCATTCATGTACTACCAGCCATTATGTGGGCATGTGTTTTCACTTCTCTTGGTTTTACACCTAGGGGTCAAATTGCTGGGTCAAATGGTAACTTTATGGTGAACATTTTGAGGAACTGCCGATCTTTTTCAAAGTGGCTGAACCCTTTCAAGTTTTCTTCAGCAGTGCATGCATTCCAATTTCTCCACCTCCATAGTCACTTTCATTATCTTGTTGATTAACGATGTCTTAGTGGGTGTGAAGTGGATTTTCACTGCGGTTTTAGATTCCATTTCCTCGGTGACTAATGATGTTGAGCAGCATTCATGTCCTTATTCACCAGTTGTAGATCTTTTTTGAAGAACATAGGATTTTTGTAAGAACCACGTTAGTTCATGAGTGAAAATTACCTTGAAAAGTACAGAGTACTGAAAGATAACAAGGGGTTATTGAAAGGATTGAGGTCTATAAATAGTTGGTAGGTTACCTTTTTGATGAATTAGAAATCAGGCAGCCTCACCCTTTCATACTGTGTCCCCACTAATCCTGCCACTTCCCCCCAGAGTCAGATAAAAGGCCTTAGTTTGGGAGAGGGTTTTGTCGGTTTAAAAAAGTGCTGATGCTTGGCATGTTTTGTGTTTCCAAGTACACAGTTAATCCTTTAACTCGTGAGATCTTTAAATGGAAACCAGGAGAGGAGTGATTGATTTACTTGAACTCACAGGGTCTGGTGATGAGCAAGTTTTCATTCATCCATTCAGCAAATACTGTACTCCTACACTGAATTCAAGTTATGAAAGATGGTTTGTCCACAGTGACATTTTCCCCATTTTTACCTCTATTTCTTTTAGATGACTAACCATTTCAAGCTTAAATTAAATGCTGCAGGAAGAAAGGGATTAACATTTCTTGAATCTTTCTAACTCTTCAGGCAAGTCTAGTCTGAAGGTTTTCTTAAGCCTTGCCGCTCAAAAGTGTCCCCAGACCTGCAGTGTCGGTGTCACCTGGGGGCTTGCTAGAAATGGTCTCAGGGCTTACACAGACCAACTGAATCAGAACCTGCATTTTAATGACAGTCCCAGGTGATTTATTGCACATTTATTGATATTGGAGAGCACCAATCTGGAGCTTTTAATTCTATAATGACTTACTCTGATATACATAAAAATCAAATGTGAGTTACCAAGAGATTCCCTCACAGTTGAACGTTCTCATATGTAGTAAGTGAAAAAAAAAGTATTTGAAGCTCTGCGATTACTCAAAATGCTTACTGTAAATGGAACTTTCCCTATCTTTTTCAGTAACACTGTTTTGGACATACAGCATCTTAAATGCAATACCTGTATCACCAGCAGAAAAACAGCCAGCTCAGTTTTTTTTAAAACATGTGCAAGATTCCATCTCGATCTCCTTACGGTGTTAACACTGCTTGACATTCCTGCCCTGGTTTGTCTAGGCAAAGACAGTATTGCGGGGCCAGGCCTTCTAGCTAATCTTTCACCTTGCTTGAGAGTTGGTCAGTTCTCATTTCCCTGGGTACTAATTTATCGGCTTACTTATCCAGGGGTACTGGTTAGTGACTAGATATCTAGTCACTAGATACACCCATTCTTAATTCCTGTAACAGAGCCTTGCCCATTTTCCCATGGACTTCCCTTTTATTTTTTCTCATCAGTTTTATCTTTTCTGGAAACTGGTACCAAACAGTTAGCTCGTTCCCAGCTGGGAGGCACTTCGCTCCCTGTCCATCTCCATCAACGGGATGGGTTTTCAGACGTTCTCTCTGAGTCACTTTATTTCTTTTATTCTGTAGCCAGAAGAAATTCAGCAGCAGATTGTTCGGGAGACCTTCCATCTAGTTCTCAAACGGGATGACAATATCTGCAACTTCCTGGAGGGCGGGAGGTAAACGATCAGCTCCAGTTTTCTCCCCATCTGTGCACTTTGGGGGTGGCCTTCATCATTGTTGCTTCTTGGGGCAATGCTGCTGCCCCTAGTGTCGGGTGGGCACCCAGCACCAGTGGAGCTGAGGGAGAGATCGGTTATGCTCCACATGTTCCCCACCTAGATGGGCACTTCCTGGGAGGGTGGGCAGAAGAAAAGGTGAGGCAAAGTGGCATTCGGCTCCGCTGCCAAACATGGCTGCCTCCGCCGCCTGGTCCGATTGGCCTGTGCTTCAGCCCACCCTCCCCTGCTCTATGGGGCCCATTCTTTCTTCCTGGCGCATGGTTTCTCTTTGATGTGTTTAAGATACAAGCCTTTAAATGTTTCCCATCTTCCACAGTTTGATTGGTGGCTCTGACTATAAACTGATTTATCGACACTATGCTACCCTCTACTTTGTGTTCTGTGTGGATTCATCAGAGAGTGAACTTGGGATCCTGGACCTCATCCAGGTACGTGTAGTCAGCCAGCAGCAGCCGCTTAAGAGTGAGCACTGGACTTCGAGTGACCGTCCTGTACGCTCTCCAACCTGTGGCCCAACACGAAATCGTAAACATACTTAAAACATCATGAGATTTTTTGTGTGTGTGATTACAAGTCATAGTATATTTAATGGGCGGCCCAAGACAACTCTTCTTCCTCCACTGTGGCCCAGAGACGCCAAAAGGTTGGACACCCCTGCTAGATCCTTTTGTAAGTCTCTTTATAGACATCTGTGGAAGTTGCCAGGTGTCCACCAGGTGGTGCTACAGGAGAGCTCCTTAGCGACCCTGAAACACTCTAGTAAGAGCTTGGATTCATTGGTTTCTACCCAGCCCTCTTGCTGCCCCAGATTTTCAGGTACTATGCTAACACCAGTTCTAATGTATGTGTTTTCCCCTGCCAACTACCAAGCAATTAACTCCGTTCTTCGTGGACACTGTCCAGGTGTCCCGTAAACTTAACTCCGTTTGGACACTGTGTGCAGATAGATACCAAACCCAAGACCAGCCTGTCACCTGCGCGTCTGACCGACTGGCTGTAGCTCAGAGGCTCCTGTGACTGCCCCCGCAGGTTTGATTCATTTGCGAGGTAGCTCAGGGGACTTTGTGGAGAAGCCCTGTACTTCCTGGATTGCCAGTGGGTTGTGCGCAGGTGTGACAAAGGATGGCCAGACCAGACAGTGGTGTAGATTGAGGTGTGGGGAGCGGGCACCCCCTCTCCCCAAATCTCCTGGGGCTCATCAACCTGGAAGCTCTGAACCCTGTCCTTTTGGGGTTTTCTGGAGGCTTTGTCACAGGGTATGGTTAATTAAATCATCAGCCGTTGGTGACTGATCCCTCCCTTCCGGGGAGGGGGGGGGGGCGGGGGGGCACTGAAAGTTCCAATCCCCTGGTCACATGTTTGGTTCCCCTGGCAACCAGACCCCATCCTTAGGTGTTTTCCCAGAGTCACCTGAGTGGAAAGTAATAGTTTCCTTTTCTCTCAGTGGAGCCGAGAGAAATGAATCATCCAAATTAATTCCTCAAATTGGAATAGGAAGCACTTTTATTTCATTATTGAGTGCAAGTTTCTTTATTTAGCGTTATCGTTAAAGAAATAATACATTTATGTTCAAATTTCAAAAAGGACACCAAAAGTATACAGTGACAAACTACCTTTTTTTCTTCCCCAACCTGCCTGTACTAGTCACCTCCTTTGTTTTCCCAGAAGCAGCCGGTTCTAGAGTTTTTTTGTTTTGTTTTTAAGATTTTGTTTATTTATTTATTTATTTTTAGAGAGAGGGAAAGGGAAGGAGAAAGAGAGTTAGAGAAGCATCGGTGTGTGGCTGCCTCTAACGTGGCCCCCACTGGGGACCAGGCCTGCAACCCAGGCATGTGTCCTGACTGGGAATTGAACTGGCGACCTTTTGGTTCCCAGCTCATGCTCAATCCGCTGAGCCACACCAGCCAGGGCTACCGGTTTTAGTTTTCAAGTCTCCAGAGCCAGTGTTATCTCTGGGAGGAAATCTACAGAGATTTGTGTAAACCAGGTGTGTCTTACCGTTCACTTCGATTTGAACAAATACTTGTAATGAGTGATAAAAAGAGAAGTGAAGAAATAACATTGTAAAGGAAGAGAAATCAGTTATCACTGTAAGGTGGCCTAAGTATATAGTAGAAAACCTAAAAAGAAAAATGCATAACATATTACAAGTAATGAATAATATAAGCAAAATAGCAGAATATGAGATGAAGTCATCAAAATCGAAATTTCTGTGAACACAGAGAATTTATAATTAAAGAAATTTCACTTGTGGTAGTGACAAGGGATATTTAGTGTTTAGAAATTAACTTGTTATGGAATATTTGACATTGATTCCAATAACACTGTAAAACCACAAAGGAAGTAAATGAGGCTCTGAGCCTCCCCCTTGTTGGGCAGAGTCTAGCAGAGGGGACAGCAGTAGCCGACAGACTGAACGGGAAACCCAGGTATAGTCCCGTCAGGAGACTTGCACAGAACTTGGTAAAGGGAAGGTTTGTCAGGCAAAATGAAAGGCCAGGAAATGCAAAAGTATGCTTTGAGGAGAAAAGGGCAATAATGAGGTGTTGGCCGTATGAGCCCTAAGAATATGTAGTGTTTGCAGATAAAATCATCTACCTAGAAAATCCAAAACGACTGGAAAACAGTTGTGAGTGTGTGGCTCCGTCTGTGTACATTGAGAGTGAGGCAAAGCTCGGCTGTGATCGTAGGAGTCGGGGTGCTTTCCTTTGGAGGCAGGGTCTGTGAGGGGACATGCGGGGGGCTCCTAGGGAGCTGGTGACATCCCGTTTCAGAATCTGCATGCTGGTTGCGTGGTGTGTTCATTCTCAAAATTCATTAAGCAGTGAAGCATACCTTTATCCTTTGTACGCTTCTCTGTCTTAGTGTGATGGTGGAGAGCTAAACTGTCATCACGTTGATTAGGTTGGGCCAGGAGACGGTGTTTTGAAATTAGTTGCTATCAGCAGGACAGAACTGTGTTCACACGCTAATTGCAGGTGTTACATATGTGGCGTTTCTGTGTCCTTAGTGTTTCCATTGTTGTTTCATGTAAATCAGCATCTTACAAAGGGGGAAAGAAGGCCACATGTGTCTGCTGGTTGTTTTGCTGTCTTTTCTTTTTAAAGATTTATTTATTTTTAGAGCGAGAGGAAGGGAGGGAGAAAGAGAGGGAGAGAAGTTACATTTTACATACACTGGGGACCAGGGCTGCAGCCCAGGCACATGCCCTGACCAGGAATCGAACCGGCCACCTTTCGCTCTGCGGGACGACGCCCAGCCCACTGAGCCACACTGGTCAGGGGCTGACTGAACTCTTAAACCCACTTGGTAGCCTTGCTCTCAGTGCTTCCAAGATACGAGTGAATGCTGTAGAAATTGCAGGGGAGTCCAAAGGGCCGGGCTTCTCTCCTGTGGCTCAGTCTTATTTCCCACCTGCAACATCTTAAGAAAAATGAAAGATTGCCCTGTTCTATAGCGTCCCCTCCAAACTGGGACTCATAGGGTCACCAGCTCATGGTGGTAGGTTCTGTTTTGTTTGAGATTTACCATGAAGTAAGTAATATGACTACCTCTTGACCTTCAGATGTGCTATTTATGAAGATGTGAGCACTCCCTATTTTTCTTCTTTACCTATTTCTTTTTGTTTCCTAGGTGTTTGTGGAGACCCTGGATAAATGTTTCGAAAACGTCTGTGAATTGGATTTGATCTTCCATATGGATAAGGTACCTTCCGTCCGCAAACCGGGGATGCTAGGAAACCGAGGGCCTTGGACGTCTCTAGCCACCTCCGCCGTCATGTTCTTCCTTCTGTTTGACTCTGGGGACATTCCTAGAACCTGTTTTTGCTTACTAACGTAACAGTGACTGTTTGGGGTGTTTTTGCTGAGACCTGTACCTGCGCTCGCACACAGACTCCCGCGGGGCCTCCTGGTGTGCGGCGCTGGCGGCCCCAGGGCGACTGGCTCTCTGGCCCTCAGTGAGATGAATGGTTTTATGTTGACTATAAATAGTTTTATGTTTCTCAGGCAGCAGTCCAGTGAGAGTAACTCTTCAGAATAATCATGACACAGGCTTTGACTAGGCCAGTAAAATGTATTTATTTCCTTATGAGTAATGCCATGGCTAAGACATCAGTAATGTAGTTTAGAGCCGGGTGGTGCTCTGCAGGGAACTGGCCTGCCAGGCAGAATTGAAGTGGTTCAAAGTGCATGTTCTTAAACATGACCTGTGTCCTCATATGCCCGATTAAACTTGGGAGATAGCCAGCGGGGGTCAGGGGCGGCCACGTTCATTTCATCCAGTCGGGCACATGCTGTTCCCGACAGCATGGGGGCTGCTGAGTCTGAGGTCTGCGTGGTGGTGGTACTTCCTTACCTGGTTGCTGTCGCTGTGGCCCCTGGTCCTCGGAGAGGTGCTGGCATGTGGGACACCACCTGTGGCCCTCCTGGGCCCCTTCTTCAGTCTGTTGTCACCCTGACAAAACCTGCACTCGGGAAGCGCATCACCCAGCTGGACAGATGGGTCACGTGCCACACTTTGAAAGGCACCACAGGGGGCGTGCAGGTGCCCCGTAGGCACAGCGGTCTGTGAGGGGCCCATCGGCAGCTCTGGTGCTGGGACATGTCAGCCAGCACGGTGTGCAGGGGCCCTTGTGTGCTGAGTGTGGCCCAACCCGGGCGGGCCCCGCAGGGGTGACGGCGGGGTGATGGCAGGGTGCGGTAGGTGGGCGCCGAGGGAGGAGCGCGAGCAGGGCCGTGTGCGTCCCTGGGCACTGCCTTCTCCGGGGCAGGGCCGGCCCGTGTGGGGGCGCCTGGGTGCTTTGTACCCAAGGGCCTCATACAAAGTCAGGGGCTAATATCCCTGTGGAACAGGTCCGCAGGCTGAAGCTTAGGCTCAAGTGCCTGAAACTTAAAACGTTCGTGTTTTTTTCACTAAACTATAGAATTGGAGAATTTTGAAGCATGCCTATTATAATAAATATGGCATATACAAATTTACAGAATCTGTCAGTTTCTACTTCTAAAACCAGAATCCCAGGAGAGTTTAGGTTTTCAGAATTCACACCCCTGAAGCAGTAGGAACACAGGTTGTGTGAGGTGACGGCCAGCCACCGGAGATTTGGGACTGTGCACAACTCTGGCTAGACAGCGGGGTCACCAGAGGGGGCGCTGGTGGCACTCTGGGCAGTGCACCTGTTCGTCACTGCTGCTGCGCAGCATCCCTGACCCCCGTGCTGCACGCCAGCAGGGCGCCGCCTGATGCATCCGCAGGTGCCCTCAGCTGGGAGCAGTCCCGTCCCACACGAAGAATGCTGAGTCGGGTGCAGGGTACGCCTGTGGGGTCATTCGGAGCCAAGTTTGCAGAGGCAGGGGACAGTCAGACTGGAGAGCCTTGTCCTCCACATCTGACTCCAGTGGACCCTTGAGTGTCCCTTTAGCCAAGCAGGTTTGACACTTCCTTAAAGCATCTGTGTCCCTAACCTTCACCGGGTATTTTCTCTTTTCCTGGCCATTCCATCCGGCCTTTTCTTACCTTTTACCTGGTCCCTCTTCTTTTTCTTCTTTAGACATTCTTTTAGGAAATTTCATACAATACCGTGACTTCAGTTCTCTGTCTGCTGGCAATTCTAAATTACCATGAAAGTTCACTTCACTTCAAATTCAGTTACATTTAAAACAGTCTCTAGCCCCTGCCTCTCCAGACTGAGAGTTCTGGCCCACCCTTCAGGGAAATGAGCCATCACAAAACCTCATATGACATTCCTCTCGGTGCCAGCAAACTGAAATAGCGGTTTTTGTCTTGTTGTGCCCGCCCTGCGCCCCCAGCTGCTGTAGCCATGGCATCTCACAGCAGGCTGTGGGGCGCGCCTGCCTGGTGAGAAGCCGGCACTGGAGCCCGCCCGGCTGCCGGAGTCCCGGCTCTGCCGCTCGGGAGCTGCAGGTGGCCAGGGCGTCGTGATGGCCCAGGCCTGTGTGGTGGACGTGTTTAGGACAGGGCCTCTGTGGAGTGTGTCCTTTTACCTGTCCCCACCCCAGCCTGCCCTCCCCCCGAGACACTACTAAGGGAGGGATCGAACTGTCCTCGTCCCCACTGCTTGTCTAGGTGTCAACACAGTCCCCGGCACGTCCTGGTGCCTCACTGTTGAATTCAGTTAGCTGTCTACTATTGCCGGTGCTGTCTCCATGAATCACATCCTCTGGGGGGGGAACAGAACAAAATAAATGGTAGGTGGTGATGAAGGGTGATGAAGGTGATGAAGGGAGGAAATAAAGCGGGCCATGGAGTGGGTAGGTGGGGCTTGGTATTTTCCATGGGGCAGTGGGGAGGGCGTCTCTGAGAGATGGCACTTGAGCACATACCTGGGGGAAGCTAGCATGGCTGGTTGGGAGGGCGTCCCAGGGGGAGGAAGACGTGCAGAGCCCCAGATGTGAACAGGAGTGCGGAGGGTGGGAAGGTACCGGACGGGGGGAGCCGGGCAGGGGAGGGATCCGATGGGCCATCGCTAGGTAAGAAATCTGAGTCCCTGCGTCCCAGGAGGGAAGCTCGGTAGGCGTGGGGACTGCCTTTCTGAAATGTACCGTGTGCATAGATTGTCTGCTTATCACCCTGGGTCCTTTCGGCCCACTGCACGGAAGAGACAGGAAGTCCTCCCTCTCTCTAAGCTTTATTGCCTGGCACAGTAAACAGTTGAAATCTCTCGCTGCTGCTCTGAGGCGGAGTCCGAGCTGGTAGCCAGATGAGTTGATAGATGGTCTGCACGTTATCCCGCACTGTAGCCTGGGAACTGGGCTCACTCCTGGTGTCCAGGTGGGGAAGGCCACCGGAGTGTGTGCTCAGCGACAGCAGTGGCCCAGTGTCGGCCTCGGGGAGCATTTATGAGCCTGAATGCAGATGGGTCTGTTAGCTTGGTGAAAACACACCACATTCACATCTCTGTCATCGATCAGTCCTGGTGACCACGTCTGCCTGTGACCTCGAGAGTGAAGGTTTCCATTCAGTAGAGAACAGGTGGCTGAGGGTGTTTCTGGGGTCAGCCAGGCCTGCACCACGGGAGGAGACGTGTCCGCAGCCTCGGCCCGGGGTGCCCAGGCCCTCCGCCGTGGCGCTGAGGGGAGTCGCCCTGCCACAGCCGGGAGCCGAGTGCCTCCTGCATTCCCCCCGTCACTGCACAGTGTGTCCCTTTAGATTCTTGGGATCCACTGCCGGGATTTACCCGTTAGTGCCATGTTTGCTGCTGGCTGTGGAGCCCCCGAGGAAGGAGTGGGAGATGCTCCGCCGGCTGGGCCTGACCCCTGGGCTTTCAGGCCGCAGCTCCTTCTCCTGCCCTGAGTAAGCAACGTGGGCACGTTCACAGGAGCCCTGTCCCCGGCTCCTGCTGGCACTTGGTGCACTCGCCCTGGGCACGTCTGCACCTCCTTCTGACCCAGGTGGAGGCTTGTGCCTCCAGGAGTGGGCGGCCCCCTTCCACCTGGATGGCCCTGCCCTGTGTCCTGCTCAGTGAGCACCAGCTGCTGCCTCCCCCAGCCCATGTCTTCTCTTCCACCCTCCCCAGTTCCGTCGGTGAAAACCAACCTTCCTCCGGGGCAGGAAATCTCAGGGATGCCAACTTCCCCTTCTGCCTCCAGGTGATCACCAGATGGTATCGGTTCTTCCCTCAGTGTTTGCTCCTGGTGCCCCTCTTCCTCTGCTGTTCTGTTCTTAAACTCCCTTTACCTGAATCCAGGTAACGAACAGATCAGCTCTAGGTAACCACAGCAGCTGCATCCAGTCTGTCTCCCACCTCCCTCACCTGGTCTGACCTTCCATGGGGAACATCCTTCCCATTTTCCCTTTCCATCTACATTCCTCCCTGCTGCCTCCAGAGATCTCTAGATGGCAGCCCCTCTGGGTCCTCGGCTCCCGCTGCCTGGGACGCGGCCCCTCAAGCCCGTCTGACATCTTCCTCTGCTTCCCACGCATGCCATGCCAACCCCCACCTCCCCGCCCTGGTGTCTGCCCCATCCCCACCCAGAGATGCCCTAACCGGGCCCTGTCAGGCGCCCCAGACTCAGGCCTAGCCCGATCCCCACGTCCTGTGAGGTCAGCTCCGCTCTGCAGTGCTGCCCTCCTCCAGCCCGCCCGTCCTCTTGCTCACGCTCCGGGTCGCTCAGCCTGTTCCCACGGATGGCGAGCTCGGAACGGCATCAGCCTGTGATGCTCAGTTGGTGATCTGAACAGTACAGGGCACAAGTGCAGCTGGTTGCTTGTCCAACCTAAGTGTGCTTTTTCATTTTTTTATATTGTTATAGTGCTTTTCAGATACAACATCTGGTGCACATTTCTAAAAAACAGATTCTAATCAGTTCCTGACTTTCAAAGTGATGGCTCGCACATGCTCGCTAATTTCGGGGTGCTGAGGGAGCAACGTAGGCGGCCCCCATGAACACCTCTTTGGGTCTCATAGGTCATCAATTCCTAGACCCCCTGTTTTGTAATGTTCTTGATTTTGACTCATCAGGTTGAGGTTCTCACAGTTGCCGGCGCGTACAGTTGGACTGGCAGCTTTCTTGTTGGTGGCAAGAAAGCAGTGGTGTGACGCACACTTGGTGGGGTCTGGGCCTCGATGAAGCACGTTCATCTCCACCTCTCCTGGTTGAGGACAGCAGTTAGTAACTGCTCGGCTCAATAAATGGTGATTTTTATCTTTATTTTTACTTTTTTCTTACGTTCTCCCTTCTGCCAAATTCCCCCTTTGATCCACCTGTACACACCCTTCTGATGACACATCGAAAGTGGTTTCAACTCTCTGACCCTCGTCTGAACTGTTCTGCAGCTCGCTCTCCACCCAGCTGTCGTCCTTGCAGAGGAGGAGGACACGCCTCGCTCTGTCACCCACTGTCCAGTGGGACCACTGCCAGCAGGACGGGGCTCGGACTCCTTCACCTTGTTTACAGAGACCCGAGGACCTCCCACCCAACTCTCCCGCTCACCACCTGCCGGTCCCTCCCTCGCACTTTGTGCTGACGCAGCACTGACTTCTGGACCTTGTCTGTGGGAAGTCCGTGGCTCTGCAAGGTTTCGATTCAGCATGCGAAGGGCTCGTGGGGGCGGGGCACAGGCCTTCCCAGGAGCAGGGAGTGCTTCAGAGACACAGGAGCCTTGGGGACGGAGACCACCTCCTCGGAAACGGGCTTCTGGGTCCAGGCCCAGCGTTAGCACAGTTTTCTCAATGGCCACGTACAGTGTGGCTCACTCACTCGACACCTGCCGTTTGGTCCGACCGGGAAGAGTGACCGAGGCCCGGGGTGGCGGGCAGGGACGTGCTCTTCACTGCTCCGGGTGCAGGGTGGGCCGGCATGGGGATGGCTCTGTGCACATTGCAGCTTGATGCCGTGGAGAACTTGCAATGGTTCTTTTTGCTGCCCAGGGGGCTGGGCCGCGTGGGGCCGCGTGAGCTCTCTTTGCTACGTCAGCTCGTGGTCGTCAAGTGCTCAGGTGTCAGGCACGTGACAGCTGGGCACTTCAGGTGCAGTGTCTCCCTGTCCCTGCGTCGTCTTGTTCTACCTCGGAAGAGGCATGTCGGGGAAGGACTCTGGTTCTCCCTGTTTTACAGACAAAGAAAGTGAGAGTTGGAGCCAGAACGCCTGCTTCCTCAAGGTCACACAAGTAGGAAGTGGCAGGGACAAAATTCAGACTCTGGGTTCCACATGGCTCCATGGTCCTTAGTGTCCTCTCCTGCTTGAGCATCCTCTCCTGTTCAAGCATCCTCAGCGTGGAGAGAAGTGGGGGGGGGGGGGCGAGCTGTGTGAGCACGGAAGCGGCCAGGAGGGGGCAAAGTCAGGAGGGCCGCCGGACCCCTTCTCACCGAGCACCGGGCCAGCATCGGGGCCGGCACTGCAGACGGGGCAGCGTGGGAAGCGGGGGTGAAACAGGAGGGAAGCGTCCTGCTGCAGCGTGTTTGAAAACTGCTTCACAGAGACTCGGACTCGGACTCGGGATTCTTTCTGTCAGAGGCAGGGACGCTCCGCAGTGAGTGCGTTTGCTGCAGTCGGCGCCACGTGCGCTCAGCCTCGAGAGGGAGGAATTCCTGGCAGAACCGCAGAGGAGTTAATGAGTTGCTGAGGGACGGGTCACCCTCTCCTTCATTTACCAGTTACTTTACAACCTCCCTCCTCTGAACTTTTATATCATTTTGTCCTTGAGTTACGGTACTGACTGCAGTCTTCCTTTTATTACGGTTCTCCAAGTTCAGGTTCCGCACTTGAGTGTCAGCCCTGTGAGGACAAGGTCCACGTCTTATCTTCATTTCCTCCTTCCAGCCCTTAACATTGTGTGGGTGAAGGTAGACCTTGCTGCAGATCACACTGTCTCGGTGACAGTGAGGGGAAGCCTTTACCCTGACATGTGAGCTTGGGTCCAGTGGGTCCTGTGAGCTCACAGTTACACATTTAGCTGATACAGACTCAGCTCTAGCCATTCAGCACAAAGAAAGAGCATAAACATTCTAAGTATGGGAATGATTCTGCCCACAGTGGTCCTCAGTCCCTCAGTGTGTCCCCAGTGAGGTGGGGGGTTGGAGCTGGCTCTGCTCTGCCTCTGCTCTGTTGTAAGCGTCACAAGCAGCCTGGAGTGACTTCAGCGCTGCAAGTCACAGTGCTGCTTCCCAGTCTGTGTGGTCCCCACAGACCTCTGGCTTCATCTGGGGCTCACCTGGACAGAAATCCATTCATGCATTTGGGGGGAACAAAAATGAGCCAGGCAGCACCGCACAGGCGATACCGGGTCAGGGCTACGTCTCATCTCCATCTCAGTTGGTGATTTGGAACTTGGTCTCATATAAGACGAGACTCCACCAGATTAATTTGTCCTTCCTTGAAAGAATGTACGATCACGTGAGTGAAAGCAAAGAAAGAAAAGCAAGAGCTAGGGCCTGGGTCTTAAGGAGACATCTGGAGGAAGCTGTAAATTTCCGGTCTGAAGACTAAGGAAAGTCATAAAAGTGGTCCAGGAGGCAGCGATAGCAAGGAAAAGAGAAGACACAGAACCCTACTGAGCATGTTGCCTTTTTAGTTTTAGCAGAGCCGCTCGGGGCCAGACAGCCCTGTGTGCCCCAGCTCCCGAAGGCATCTCGGCACAGAGTAAGTTCCTTAGTCAGTATTGACAACAGTTGGCAAAGAAGAGGCTCAGTTACGTCCAGAGTGTTCTGGGTTCGCAGTCCTGGGTATGCGCAGCCCACTTCTGAAGGTTTTTGTGAACGCAGCGTGGCGGTGACTGAGTGTAGCCTCCCTGGATGGAGAGCCCCTCTCTTGGGGGCCGGGGCTGCTTCGCGCCCTGTGTCATGCGTGGTGGTTAGACCTGCAGAGGCACTCGGCTGACAGATGTGGAGTCTAATTGCCATCTGTTCATTTGTGGACAAGGCAGATAAATGGCAAGGCATGGGGATAGGCGGTCCCGAGCAAGTCCTAAAACACTGATAAAATTCGGGACTTTGGAACGAAAGTGGGGCTGAGAGAGAAGGCTTATTGCTGTCATGCACCAGGTTTCTGGAGGGCGTTTTTGTGCCTCTTCCGCTTCCATGTTTTTCCTCACACGGATAATACGGGAACTCGAGACTGACTCTGGGCCCAGATGACTCAGGTTTCTCTTCCCCCAGCACTGCTCAGTCCTCTTCCAAGTGTCCCCTGTGTCCTCGGGCTTGTCAGCCACCACATCCTCTGCCGGGCGAGGAGGTGCTGCCATCCCAAGAGTCCCCCCTCCCCGTTCTCATGGGACCCTTTCCTAGGAATTCATGGAACCAACCAGGCCAGCGAGGAGTAGCAAAGGTTGTCCACACTTAGCTTTTTATCTGGCAGGCTCGCTCTCTTAGTGGAAGTTACCAGCTCTGGTTTAAAACGAGAGGCTTGCCCCGTTGGCGTCCCCAGTCTCAGAGCAAGCCCTGAGCGGTGCTCTTCCGGTCTCGGTCTGTTTTATCATCTTCCGTGTGGTGACAGCTTTGAGAAAGATAGGACTGTGCGCATCCGCAGGGCTTGCGGCCCCCCAGGCTCGCTCCCTCCGATGAGAAGCACCAGGGGAGGGAGCGGCCGAGTCCGGAGGGTTCTGTGGGGGTGTGCCGAGCTCGGGCTCTGGAGCACGGCAGTGTGCTGGCTGCCCCCTCTGCCTGTGGAGTTCCGCCAGGCGGGTTCCTGCCGCCCCAGGATGGAAGTGCAGTCTCCTGCAGGGGCAGCGTTGTCCCGATGCGAGGCCGCGGCAGCCGCAGGGGTGCTCTGTGGCTCCGAGTCCTCACTGTGGCCCTGGGCCAGTTTTAGTGAGCTGCTAGGGTGAGAAGCTTGTCACACCTATAGAAAGATACACTGTGAGTTTAATACTTAAAAACGGACTTTTAGCCCGTGGCCAGTTGAAGACTGTTTTTACTGGAACTCTGTTTTTACTGGAGGAAAAGAAATGTTTGTTATCCTCTGGCTCCAGGTCACCCTGCTTCTGGTGACGGTCTCTGGCGACCTGGGCTTGGACTCAGCACTGTCCGACTCCGTGAGAAACATGAAGCAGGGCACTCACGAGGCCCCTGGGACTCTGGGGGGAATGACTGGTTGCCATCCCAGCAGCCCCGAGGCCGTGTCCATCAGGAGCACCTCTGTCCTTGAGGTGCCACTTGTCTTTTCCTTCTTAGACACTGTCCCTGCTGACATGAAACGAGCAGGCGCATTGGCACCCACCTTCACCTGCGGGGCTGGGCTCTGTCCCGGGCAGGAGCGCGTGTGTCTCAGTGACAGTGGGAAGCCAGGCCACCCAAGGGTGGTGTCTCCTCAAAGTCAGGGCGTCTGAACCAGAGGAGCCCTCTCACCCCCTCAGCCAGTGTTGGTGAAGGACCGAGCTTGCCGAGCCCAGTGCCCAGCACCAGGGGCGAGGTGAGTGTGCAGGGAACCTGCCCTCAGAGGAGGGCGTGGTTGGGGAGGGGCACAGAGGGGCACAAAGGAGGGCAGCGTGCTGAGCGAGGCGCCCGAGTAGAGATGCATGTGGGTGCAGAGATGTCACTGGGAGGGTGGCAAGCTGTCCTCAGTGTTTCTTGAGTTTGCTTGGCCCGAGCCTTGGGCACTCAGCACCTGGAACCCTGCGAGAATGTCTCCGACTTTTACAGAACTGCTGTTCAGCAGAGTCCCCACGAAGAGTGGTGGGAGGTAGAGGGTTAGGAGGAGCGTGGCGGCGGCGGTGCAGTCTGCCGCACTGCGGGCCCTCGTTGCAGTTTGGGGAAGTGCTTTCTTTCTGTCAGGAAGTCGCAGCAGCTTGGACAGTCCCAAGAGCCACCCTGGCCGCCCAGGGTGACCACTCCCTGTCTGTGCATGTGCAGCGGGGCTGCTGGCCAGGCCTGGCTGGTGCAGAGCCTCGGGGTTGAGCTCCTCAGAACAGGAGGTACATCCGCCCGGAGCCCCAGGGCTGGAGCCTCACCCGCTCATGCACTCCGCCCCAGGAGGAGGCCCAGGGCGCAGACTCACAGGTCCCCACCTTGGTCAGCACACTCACGTGCCTCCCAGAGGTGGGGTAGGGTGGGGTTGGGCTCCTGCACTTACCTTCCACCTTCCATGGATAGAAAAGAGGTGTGGGGCCCAGCCGGATGCCCAGGGGGTCCCCTTACAGAAGCAAGTACCTTGCCCTGGCTGGTGTGGCTCAGTGGATTGAGCATGGGCTGGGAACCAAAGGGTCACCAGTTGGAATCCCAGTCAGGGCACCTGTCTGGGTGGTGGGCCAGGTCCCCAGTAGGGGGCATGTGAGAGGCAACCACGCAGTGATGTTTCTCTCCCTCTCTTTCTCCTTCCCTTCCCCTCTCTCTAAAAATAAATAAATTTAATTTTAAAAAAAGAATCAAGTACTTATAGGGGAGGGAGGAGGTTGAGAGTTTTCTGCAACAGAAACATGAAGTAGACAGGCGCCCAGGTGTGTGGGCAGGGGGATTAGAGGCTGGGTCGTGGGTTAGATCCCCTTTGAGGGAATGGATACTCGCATTTTGGTAAGCATTGCTACTTTTTGACTGTTTTAAGAGAAAACTTTAAATAGGACAGGATTGTAAGCTCCCAACCTTCAGTCACGGAAGCGTAACCCTGAATGTGTGTGCACCTTGGTCTGGTAAAACACCAGTGTCCGCCCGGAACTTTCCCTGCTGACGTTCCTGACTCAGCCCTCCCAGTGTTTTCTCTGCCGCCTTCTTCGCACATCAAGATAAGCTGCGAGTTTATTGGGGTGGTTGAACTCTGTGTCTAGATGAGCAACTTCTCCTGCCTGTGAGGGTTGCCGGGTCGAAGTGCTGGTGGACTTGCCAGAAGCAGCAGCGCTTTCGGTTCTCTGAGCAGACACTCGCGACTGGGTTTTGCGGGCGTCGTTATTTCAGGTGGTTGCTGAAGTAGCAGAGCGCTGGGAGTTACCTTCCCCCGGCCATTCGTGCTTGTTCGGTGCGCCCTGCGCTGGGCTGGGAGTCGGGCTCCGGAGGACCTTCGTACCTCTGTGCTCTCTTCCGCTCGTGTGGCTTTTATTGCCGCCCTGACGGTTCAGATTTCAGACTTCATTCTCCCCTGCCTCCCCGTGTCGTGTTGGTCCTTGAGCTCTTAGGGCTCTCGGAGGGTCTGACCCACCTTGCTCTTGACATCCTCAAGACCACACTCCATCTGTCACCTCCCGTGGTTCAACAGAGTGACTCTTTGATTACGTCGTCCGTTCGTTAGGTGCGCAGTTCAGCATTGATGCGTGCCTGCCTTTCCCCACACCTGTGCTTGGCAGCCTCCAACTTCCTCAAGTCCCCTCGTCCCCACTCGAGGAAACGGTGTGTGTGTGCAGTGGGAGAGGTGGCTGTGCTCACTGAAACCTGCTGGTGCCGGTTACACTGGTCGTTGTAATTGTGTCATGTACTTAATAATGCACAGGAAACCACACAGGACAAAAGAGAATTGATCAATGAAAACACAGGCGGGTGCTTTGGAAGGCCTGGTACCTGGAAAGGACATAAAGTTGAATTAGGTGTCAGCACGGTGACAGGGGACGCGGCGGGGAGGGCTCCAACGTGCTGGCCGCCTCCCTGGGGCCCGGGTTCTCCCTCCACTTCCGAGAAACTGGGAGCTGTAGAGGGTGCGTGTGGGTGAATTGTATGCAAGAGAAATGGCACAGAACTCTGGTCAGCAGAAAAGGGCTTGCTGGCCCTCAAACAGTTTGGAGGCTGTCAAAGTATTGTTTATAGTGAATGGTTGTGGGCAGGGCGGGGCGGGGCGTCACAGTAAAAGTCAGAAGGCCTGTTTCTCAATGACTTGAGTTGTCAGTTTTAAGTGATGCCCATCGGCTCTCAGTCACTGAGGATGGGGAGCCAGTGGTGGTGGCGCTCCTGCCGCCCCCTCTCTCTCCCCTCGTCTTCCTTGTTTTTGTCGCTGTTTACTTTCTGCCACGTCCAGGCACAGCACTGACATTCTCCTGCCATCCTGTCCCCGGTAGTCTCAGTCCTGCCATTCCTCGGGCTGCGCGCCCCGCACCAGTCCCGGTGCTCACAGTCCCCGGCGGCACCCTGCCTGCCGCAGTGCACGGTCAGCGCCTGCCGGGAGGCCCGCGGAGCACAGTCCCCGCTCTCGCTCTCAGCTGACAGGCCGGGAGGCCCGCAGGAGCACAGTCCCCGCTCTCGCTCTCAGCTGACAGGCAGAGGGCTCTGCAGTGCTCCCGCCACATCTTCTCTCCTTGGGAATTTTGTACGTGTTGCTCTTTTTTTTGCTGGAATTTCACTGTGGAAATTTTCAAGATTTTATCCCTCTTCTAAGTGATTTGATCTTTTTGCCAGTTTGCAGAAACCTGGAGTCTTACCCTCGGGGTCTGTCTGGGTGCCGGCTGCTGAGGGTCAGCTTTCCCTGGGGCCCACTGTGTCCTCGCAGGCGTTGGGACGCTCTTCCTTTGAAGGCTGAATAGTGGTCCATTGGGTGGATGCGGAACGTCATGTCCATCCGCTTTTCTGTCGATGGGCGGCGATACTGTAATGATTGTTGAGAAGCCGGTGTGCGCCAGGCACTGGGCATCTCATCCAGTCTTCACCACTGTTCTGGAAGGAAGCTGAAGCATTGAAGGGATAATGTGTCCAAGTTCACAAGCCAATAGCAGAGCTGAAATTTAGCCAGGTCTGTCTGACCTCAAAGCCTGTGCTCTCAGCCACCACCTCGCTGCCTTGGGTGTAGCCGGGCACCTCCACCACGGCTGGTAGGAGACAGCCGTAGCAAGATGAGTGAGCGTGGGGGACCCCTGGTGGCCTCATTGGGAGGGGGTGACCTGGGGGCTGAGGTGGCTGCTGTGGGTCAGCAGCCGAGTCAGGTCCGGCTGCCCTGCTGCTGCCTGAGAGCCTGAGGGGTGGCCTTTGGGGCCACACTGGCCACCACAGAGGACTCTGACCCTTCTTTCTTTCGCTCCCCTTTAGGTGCACTACATCCTACAGGAAGTGGTGATGGGTGGGATGGTGCTGGAAACGAACATGAATGAAATCGTGGCCCAGATCGAAGCTCAGAACAGGCTGGAGAAGTCGGAGGTGAGCGCACGGCTGTCCTGGACCCGGCTGGTTCAGGAGTGCTTGGGCAGACAGGAGCTGGTACCTGGGTTGGTTTGTGTGCTGTGGCACCTTAGGGATGTCTTATACTCACTTTCTTTCTTCCTGGAGTCAATTGAAGCTCACTGGTTTGAGGGCCAGGTAAGAATGAGGCTGAAAGTGTGCATGGGAAAGCCAGGTGGCCGGGGAAGGAAGGCAAGCAGCTTCTCCGGCGGGGGGGTTACCGCCCATGTTTTTGGCTTGTAATTTTTCCTCTCAGAGCCACCTGTCCCCTGGGGGCCCAGTGTCCCTTTCTCCAATTCCAGTGTGGTTTCCTAGTTCATGCGCTAGAGGGGTCTGCTCTCTCAGCGGCCATTTCTCGAGGTGTCTGTCACACCTCAACATTGCCGGTTTCCTTATTTCCCCTGAGCCTTATAAAAGCTGCAGTGGAGTTTGGCCTGGGTTTGAAAACACCACACCCAGCCCACCTGCACGCTGCACAGATGCTCACAGGAAATCTGCCCCGGCCCCTCGGGGTTTCTCCATGGCCTTTTTCAGTCCTTCGAGGGCAGTGGGCGGAGAGGGGACGGGTGCACCTTTCCACGCAGGGGAAATCGCAGACCCAGCTGCCGCCTCAGCTTCCCAAGGGTCTGAAACGGCTTCCTCGCTTTGTGTGGTGGGACTTGGTCTTGCGAAACCAGGGATTCTTCTTTGAGGACTGGCCGTCCTGACAAAGAAGCTCTTCCAGACCACAGCTATTGTGGCAGCTATGGTTCTGGAAACACAGGCTGGGAAGCTTCCAGGAGCAGGGAGGGAGTCTGAGGCCAGGGGGCTGGAAACCACAGGGACCACCAGAGACCCGCTGCGAGGGCGGGGTTGGCGTCTGGTGGGAGGAAGGGAAAAAAGGAGCCGGTGAGGCTGAAGGAAGCCACCGAGAGAGTCAACTCCTCCCCTTGTCTGCACAGAGGTGCTCGCCAGCTGCAGGCACCTGGACCGGCCGCGTTTGCCGCCCGGCCCCGCGGGACTGGGGCCGCCTCACCTCCAGTCCTTCCTCCCACCGTGTCGGCCCAGCGTTGCGAAAGCCTGCTTTTCCCACCTCACATCATTTGTTGGCAAGCGGGTCCCCTAAGCCACGACATTCGTTCTCCTTTTAAAAATTGCCCTGTGACTGCACTTGTTTATCAGTCTTCAGTCCCTTGAGGAAAGGGTTTTATTTTGTTTTGTAATCTGAAAAACACCCTTGTATTACTTCCGCAGACACTTATTGAGCCCCGAGCCTTTGGGGGGCCGGCCCTGTGAGATGCTGGGGCTACAGAGCTGCAGCTGCCACTCCCCCTGCAGGGGCTCGGGGTCTGGGTCCCTGTCCGTAGGCCCCGCATCCAGCCCCATCCTGAAGACTGTTCGGTCGGCTGCTTTGAAGGGACGGGGAGGAAGGGTGAAACGGGCACCAGGCCCCCCCCCGCTGGCCTGCACATTGAGTAGATGCCACCGAGGCTCTGCCTCATGCCCACCTCTTCTCTGTCCTCAGGGCGGCCTCTCAGCAGCCCCCGCCCGGGCCGTGTCCGCCGTGAAAAACATCAACCTGCCGGAGATCCCTCGGAACATCAACATTGGTGATCTCAACATCAAAGTCCCCAATCTGTCCCAGTTTGTCTGAGGGCCGAAGACCGGGCTGGACCGGAGTCCTGGAGAACAGCAAAGCCAAGCCAGTCCCGAAACAGAACCACTCTGAGCCTCAGGGGAGATGCCTCAGGCCCTGACCCACGCTGTCCTGGAGCGGCACGGCCATCCTGTGTCATGCTGGCGAGGGCTCCGTCCTCATGGTGCAGCCCTGCCCATCTCTGACCGCGGGTGTGAGGGGTCCTGGCTCCCTCAGTGGGGGTCAGTGCGCCCAGGCAGCTCCCCCATCCCCCCTGCATGCAGCCGCTCCCGGGGATTGGGGGCCGTAGTGAGAGGCCCGCCTGCTTCCCAGGACCCCCACCAGGACCTTGTCTGACTGGAGTCTTCTTCTTTAGCCCCAGGAGGTGCCTCGAGTCTCACCTCGCTCCCCTTTGCTGGCCAGGTGCCATCGCTGCAGAGGGCCTGACCCTGCAGACCGGGCCGTGGTGGGCGGCAGGTGAGGGCCGGGCCTTCCGAGAACGAGCGCGGCCCACTGGCTCTCTAGGCTGTCGTCCCCAGAGTCCTCTCGTGTAGCCAGACTTCCAGATCACGACCTCCCGCAGGACTCGCCTCCCACTGCCGCCGTCCCAGCTCTGCCCCACAGCGGCTGCGTGCAGGACGCGGTCCGGGGCGGAGGCCTGGCGCACACCCTCCCAGTTCCTGCTGATCGGGGGAGCACCCCCGCGCAGCGCTCTCTCCGGCACAGCCGGACATGCCCCCCCCCAAGGGGACAGGCCCTGTGTCTGTAGAAGGTAGAGCTGGCACCATATGGAACGTGTCAGAATTACAGCTCTTTCTGGGTTTAAAATACATGCTCCTCGCAAGGAGCAGACAGGTCAGTTGCTGTGTCATGAATGGCGAGTCCTCTCTGCGTGGGAAACCCACTGCCGTCGTACCAGCCTCTGGAGCTCGAGAGCCTGAGCCGGGGAAGGTTGGGGACACAGGAAGCGTGCTGGCCGAGCCCGGGGGCAGCAGGCCACTGTGCGAGGGGTCCCTCCCTATGCTCCGCTTGCGGGCACGCCTTGTTCCCTGTAGGTGGTGTTCTCTCGGAGCTAGCTTTGGAAACGTAGATGTTTCTGTGCGGTCCGAGTCCTTCCCGTGGGTAGTTCAGAGCTGGAACCGCTCCTCGGAGCAGAGCCTGCTGCCCCTGCCCAGCCAGGCCAACAGCGGGGCATGGCGCCGGCTGGCCCGGGACCCAGACTGTTGCCTTGGCTTCCTGACGTGTTCACGGGGCCCATGTGGCAGGGTGCCCAGCCGGGCCATGTGTCTGCACTGCGGCTCTTGCCTCGTTGGCCGGTGCCTGTCGGTCAGGCCGCCTCTTGTCCCCAGTCTTTTGAATCCTCTCTGGCAGCCTCAGGTGGGCCATGTTAGTTAGAAGCCCTCTTCTGTCAGAACAGGGAGACATAGACGAACGTGTTTGACGTTGGAGCCTTCGGGGGGGGGGGGGTTAGTTTTCTCCTACAGACACTCAGGCACACACACGTCCCTTTCCCTCCCAACGGCTGGACGTGAAGCAGGAACAGGGGAAGGCACCGACGCCCCTTTCGCACCCGCTGCAAGGTGGCTCGAGCGGGCCCTGCACGGTCCTTCCTGCAGACGTGGTCATCTCCGTTTTCCAGGTGGAGGAGGCGGGCCCCCGGGAGGCCAGGTAACCCGCGTCAGGTCAGTCAGGGCCAGTGAGGGGGCCCACCTAACTCCAAAGTCCTTTGTTTTGTTTTTGCTCTTTCTTTCCTAATTTTGTCTTTTATCTTACAGATAAGGAAACTGAGACTCACAGAGTTAAATAGCTCCTCACAGTCTGATTAAAAACAGGCTTGGCTTTCTAAGGGCCGGGTGTAGGGTGGGCTTCAGGCAGCACAGCCGCAGCCGGGGCGCCTGGCTGGGTTTGTTCAAGGTTTGCTGCGCTGCAGCAGGAGGCCAAGCGTCCGGGAGCTCCCTAGGGTGGTCTCCGAGCCTCCGCCTGCCGGAGCCCAGGGCTTCCCACAAGCCGTCGTCTGGCCCCGCAGGCCCTGCAGTGCGCACGCCAGCAGCACCCGGCGCACGGCCTCCAGGACGGCACACAGCCTCAGCCTGGCGGGAAGATCGGTGCCGTGGGACAGGCCGCAGCCCTCGTCCCTCCACTGCTCGGGGTTGCCTGCACACGCAGCGAGCTTTCTTGCCCACTCTCAGCAAAACCATAAACTTTTTTTTTTTTATGTGCAAAGAGGAAATTCTCATTGGCCTGTGTTTGAGAGGGGTAGATACCGCTGCTGAGAGAGGTTGGCTATGAAAACGGTGGCCAGGCCTGAACGTGGGAGACCGGGGCCCTGGGTGCCCTCACAGAGCACGTCGTAAAACGGCGCATAAGACGGTGTGCGGTGCTCACCGACACTCACTAAAGTCTCGGACCCTGGGGTTTGTGAGCACTGGCGGGTGCCGGCTCGGCTGCAGGCGGGGAAGGCGGAAGGAGAAACGAGGCCTGCGTCCTCTCTTGCCTCCGAGGGCTCAGACCCCGTGGCCGGGAGTCAGGGACTCTATTATGGGGGAACGTTTCAGAGACCGCCCATTCCCCGCCCCCAGCTACCTCTCAGTCCAGGCTGCTGTCACAGTAACGCCGTAGACAGGGAGGATTCAACGACAGACGTTTCTCGAAGCTCTGCAGGCTGGTCGAGACCCAGGTGCCCCCAGCGCTGCAGTGTCTCGTGGCCGACCTGCTCCCTGTGTCACAGCTGTGGGCAGAGAGGAAGCTCTGTCCCCCATAAGGGCACCTGTCCCATCCTGGGGGCCGACCCCGGGACCCCACCCGAACTAGGCACTTCCCTAAGGCCCTGCCTTCGCTAACCTTCACACGGTGGGTAGACTTAAGCATACAACCGGGGTGGGGCAACATTCAGGCCATACAGTGCCCCGGGTGACCCACATTCCCTCTGGCCTGGTCACGGCCCTGTGCTTGTCACGTTGAGGATGAAGTCAGGACACCACGTCTCAGGTTCCTGTTACGCCTCTGCCACTTGGAGCTGGCCCTGCCTCCCTGCCGCCGCCTGCCCCTCCATGGAACCACCCTGGCGAAGCCTTCTCGGGCCCCAGCTTCACCAGAAAACAAACCGGGGGACTGTGGCTAAAACCAGGGTGCTGGCTAAGCCCTGTCTTGGGGCCCAGACTTTGGTAGGGCTGTCCCTTGGTGAGGCCACCTGCCCACGGCTCTGCAAGCCAAACGCAGCAGCGACCGGCCCTGGAAGGTGACAGGACGGAGACCCGGGGGCTCATGGGCGCCCGACAAGTGTCTTGGTCTTTGGCCTCCTGAGTCCTCTAACCAACTTCGGGGAAGGTGACAGTCTCGTGTGGCCCCTGTTAGTCGAGTAGCCACCTGCGTGGTCAGAACTCGGGCCTTGGAGCCCTGGGTCCCCCACCCGAAGCAGTCGGCAGATGTGCAGACGGGTTCTTTAAGGAAGTCGTCCCGTTAAAAACGATTAATGCGTTCTTTCCTCAGGACTGTTTACAGCTCTTTCCTGCTTCACTGATTGAATGCTTTGGAAAGGAAACGCTCATGTACTTCAAAGACGCAGATAACAATAGACTGTTCAGCTGCACCCGGCCCTCCAAACCACTGACCCCCTCCCCCGTTCCTGGTAGGAGTCCGTGGTTTCAGTGTAGAGGAGTAAGAAGTCCCAGGATTTTCATTATTCCCGAAACTTGAGTGCGTCTCCCGCTCTGCCTCCCTGCTCCGGGGACTTGGACATCCTGGGTGCAGGGCTGCATGCAGTTCCTGCCCTGTGCACGTCCCTGGAGAGCTGGGGCCCGTCACTCGCTGCGGCCCAGTCTGCGTGTGCAGCGTGTGGGGCACAGCATCCCATATGTAACTGGAAGGAGCGCGTGGCTGAGGTCCTCACAGGCCTTTGTGGCGACTCCCAGCCTGTGCTCTGCAGGCCCGTGCACTCGGCACTGTGGGCAGATGCCCTCCTGACAGCTGCGAACCCTGGAGTGGGCAGGAGAGGAAGTGGGTGTCCGTCCCAGAGAGTTGGAGGAAGCCACAGGGACGAGCGATGTGGCCGGGGTGAGAGGCGAGGGCAGACCCAGCCTGTGGGCAGGGGAAGTGAGAGGGGAGGCCGGACGTGGAGGGACTTCCAGCGAAGGGAGGGTTTGCAGGGGGAGGCGGCGCCTGCCGAGAGGCCAAGGGGCCGGGACTGAGGAGAGACGGCCTCTGCCGGGCTTGCAGTTGTCCCCACCAGGCCTCCAAGGCAGGCCGAGAGGGGGGACCTGGAAGGGTTGGTGCCGGCATTGGTGGTCATGCACATGTGTAGATCACCGTCCAGCTCTGGGGCACAGCGGCCATTGGAGCCTGGCCTCTGGGGCCGTGGTGAGAACCGATGTGGACCAGAGAGGCCTCTCTAAGTGCCAGCTACACCCGTCAGTCGTTGGGACGGCTGCAGAGGGGTGCGGAGCCGAGGTAGATGCAGGAAGCTGGGAGGAATTGGTCCTCAAGTCCTGGGGGTGAGGGGCCAGGTGGTCCTCCAAGGAGGCTGAGGCCGCCACTGGAGGGAGCTGCAGGGAGAGCAGTAGCATCTCTGAGGCTCCCCTCACCACAAGTTTGAAGAGAGAGGTGCTGATTCATGACTGGCAGGACCAGAAGTGTGGGGACGCCTCCTGGAACTTCCTTCCCTGGGTTCCGCAGCCCCGGGGAAGGGCCTCTGGCCAGGCAGACCTGGCTGAGAGTTGGGGTCCCGTAGAGAATGCCACACTTCCCATAAAAAATCGGATCTCGGGCCTTCTCAAGAGCACACCTGACGCTTTTCTGCAACTCGGGCATCAGCCTGGCCTCCTGGGAGCTCTTGGAAATGGGGGGGCCTGCCCTGCCCCCGAGGTGCTCCCCCCACGCCTTCAAGAGGGCAGGTGAAGGCACCTTCCACATGGACAAGAACGAGGACCTAACCTGTGAGCGCTGTTCCTGGCACAGGTTCTCCCCTGCAGCAGGCCCTCCCTCAGGTGACGGTCAGGGGCCCAGCTGCATGGCTCAGGCCCTGACCAGTCAGAGTGGAGGTACCGGGCAGGGCTACAACGGGACTGGTGGGCCTCGTGGGTTCTGCCCCCAGGACCCTGCCTCTCCTGAGGCAGCGAGGGGGGAAGCAGCTGCATTTGTTCTCTGCCACCCGCGGCAGGCCCAGATGAGCTCCCTGTGGTTGAATCTGTGGTGGGAGGGACAGGGGGCCTCCCAGGGTCCCACCTCTGGACCCTTACAAGCTGGCAGTGAAGCCAGGCCAAGAGATAGCACAAGCCCAAGGCACTGCCCGCTACAGAAGGCCACTGTCTTGGCCTGGGCAGCCTGGGAGCAAAGCTTCCCTCTGGCCTCTTGGTGCTGGGCACTGGGTGCCGTCGATGCCCCCTCCAGGCCTCCTGGGGACTCCGCCGCTGGCCGGAGGCACGTACACGAATCCTGCCCGGCCTTTCTGGCCTGAGGATGGCCGCACGGATGGCCTGGGACGGAGTCCTTTTTTACTGAGAAAGCGCATGTGTAATGAGGCAAGCTGGGATTCCAACTGCCAGCTGCTAAGCCAGTTTTTCCAGAACTTCGTGTGTGGCCGGGAGGTCCACCGAGGAGGTAGCTCCCACTCAGATGCTGGACCGGGTGCTTTGAGGGCACTTCCTGCTGAAATTCCCCTCCATAAGGTTCTTGGCCACCACCTGCCTCTTCCCCACCAGCGAAGAACACAATGGCCCTTTCAAGTTCACGGTGATGAAACAGGGTTGGATGGGAATCCCTGGGTCCAAACTGCCAAACATGTCAGCGTTACAGTGATGTTGTCTGGCATCGGTCAAGCCACACCCGGCACAGGCCGGCCGCTGGGTGAGGCCCCTGCGGACA